CATTAAAAGTTTAGTAAAATTATTGATTTCAAGAATTATAATGAGATATGGAAGATGATGAAGAGTTATAGTGCTAAAATATAGTTTAAGTATATATAGTTGAGTTTAAAAGTATGAGGAGATTTAAATAAGTAAAGTTTAGGTAAAGTATTGGTAATTTTCGAGTTAAAGAAGTCTATTATGGGTTAGTAGTATCGGTACTGGTTGGGTAAGTACTGATACTACAAGGTAAAATATGTGAAAATTATGTGTAGGGTATCGATACTGCATGAACAGTATCGATACCATAAGGCAAAAAGTGGGATAAATACTCATAGGGTATCGATACTGAAGTGGTAGTATCGGTACCATGGGTATCGATACCAATGGGGGTGGATCGATACCATTTCTTGTAATAAAATTTCAGAATCAATAATGAGTATCGATACCGTGGAGGGGTATCGATACTACAAGTATAGAGGTATCGATAATGTGCTTGTAGTACCGAAAATATTTAAGTTGGAATTAAGGAATCAGTGCTTTGTTTAGTTTATATTGGTAATAATCTTTCTGAGTATTTTGAATTTCGATATTCATTGAATTGTATATTCATGTAGATATCGATCGAAGACAAGTCCAAGACGGTTCGAAGTTATAAGAGTGTACAAGAGTTGTACGTATATGAATGACTAGTGAGGCCATGTGAGTGCACGTTATTATATATAGGGTGTTTTATAGAAATAAGACTTGCGATGAGTCTATTTCCACTATTAGATTGTATGAGTCCAAGAATGCAAGTGAAGTATTAATATGGTTTCTTTGTGGATATGAGAATGCAAGTGAAGTATTAATATGGTTTCTTTGTGGATATGAATACATGCATCTGTTTACATGTTAAGTATATGATAATTAGCTAGGAGAATACATGTATATATGATACATGCTATGTGACCATGATATATGTGTTATGTGATATATGTTACCACATGATAATATGATATAAAACATGTGATATTGAACTACTTGAATATATGAAATCGTGATATGCCATGTGACTATGAGCTATGTGAAAATAAGTGACGTGATTATATGATCACAAGAGATAAGCCATATGATGTGAATGATATGATAAAAAGCTATAATCATATATGTTTATGTGATATGGCCATGTGAATATGTGACAAACATAATGATAATGCCCATGTTATATGAAATGAGAGCTAGGGGTATAGTTGGCATGTCAAGAGTCGAGGGTTCTATGTGGTCCTTTGGGATATATATGTAATCCTTTGGAACATATATGCAGTCTTTGGAACACATATTTGGTCCTTTAGAATATATATGTGATCCTTAAGGAATGGTCCTTCGGGACATATATGTGGTCATTCGGGACATATATGTAGTCATTCGGGACAAATTCTATGTACCCCTAGTGGGAATTTATTCGAGCTGTGTTGACAACATATGTGCACAACCTCAATGTACTCAAGTATCTTTAGTTCTCACAAATGTACATGGGCTATTAAAAGATATAACATAAATAAAGTGTATGTGTTGTCATGTGTTTTGCTGTGTGAAAATGTATGATATGATAATATAAGTGTTAATTACAAGTTTAAATGATAAGAGAGCTAAATGAGAATAATATATGATAATGTCAAGAATGTAGAAGATGATATATGTGCATGTATGTATTTGCTACATGAAATAGTATATGATTTTGCAGGATATTATAGAATTAAATGTTCATGCATGGTTAGGAATTTCAATTACATTACATGTTTTATATGCCTCGCTAAGTGAACGACTTAGCGTGCGAGTGTTTCACACGTAGGTTTAGATGAGATTATGGAGAGAAATAGAGCAAGACAGGTCAGATTCTCCCTTCCAAAGATCAGATCAGAAATGTATTTAAATAATATGTATTTTGTTATAAGAAATATAGTTGGCATGTAAATAAAGATTTGAATTGTATATGCTCTGATAAGTTTTGTAAACCTTTTGATTGAAAATTGTATAAATTATACACCTTGATTTGATAAAAGATAGAATTTTCATTCTTTTGTAAAAGTAAATGTTTTGAAAAGTTAAGGTGACACCTCGGACTCGTATCCGGGTCGGGTACGAGTTGGGGGTGTTACATATATGGTCAAAGAATGTGTGGCAAGAGGTTGCCCCTCCGAGAGTTGAATCTTTTGTTTGGCAGACCATCCATAAAAAATTGGATGTGAAAGCTAAACTCGTTAAACGTGGTGTCTCTGGAGTAGAGGAGATTCTATGCCCTTTATGTGAATTGGAATCGGAGACTATTTCTCACCTTTTCTTGTGCTACAAAGTGTTGTGGGAATTATGGGGTCGGTTTTTAAGGTTGTGGAACATCTCTACAGTTTTTTCTAATGTCCTTTCTGATTTCCTTGCTACCTGGATTGAGGTAGTCCTCCGATCTCATATTTAGATATTTATTCCGGGGGCAGTTATGTAGTCAGTTTGGAAATACAAGAATGATGTGATTTTTGAGAAGGGGAAGGTTGATTCTACTCCGATTGGCTGCGTGGTTTCTCACAAAGTTTCCTAATAAACACATTCAGTTCGACTTCCTAGTGGATGATCATTCGGTAGCTAATCATTGTTTGAGTTGGAAGAAGATAATCCCTGCTACCTCCATGTGGCCCCCTCTACCCCGAGGTTCTTCAACATTAATGTTGATGGTGCATTGCATAAAGATTAGCTTAAAGGAGGTATTGGTTGGATGCTTCGAGATTTCGATGGATCGTTACTGGGTTCTTTTTCAATTCATGTTGGACCTGGTCCATCTGTCCTGGTTGAATTGTTGAATGTGAAACTGATATGATATTCTTTGTTGAGTCGCTTTGGGAGTCTATGGGGAGATTGATTCTAAAGTGTGATTGTGCTAACGCTTTAGCTTGGATAAAAAATGGGGATCCTATCCAACCCTTTTTGCAGAGCTAGTGAAGGAGGTTGTTGCATTAGTTTTGGATCGAAATGTTATTATGAAACACATCCAAAGAAGTGCTAATTGGGAGACGAATAAACTAGCAAAATTAGGGATTGGTTTATTATTTTCCTTTTGGTTTTCTATTTTGTATGTTGTTCCTAGTTTGGATTTGTTGTGTGGGATTCCTTCCCTAATTAGGTTCCTTGTTCCCCATTTATACCCTTGTGCAGGTTTTAAATAAAAATTGAGGTACTCTTTTCCTTCTTCCAATGTCAATCGAGATACTTTTTGTATCTTTACAGTTATGAACGGAATTTTTAATGAGACCTTCAATTCTTATAAAAAAAAATTCTCTCTATTTGTTTGTGCGCATCTAAATGAAACACACGATTGGATATAGTTCTTACTTCCTTATTGATGTTAAATCATCAGCCTCGGTTTACAAGTCCCTCCAACCTATGCTTTAATAACTTCCTAAATACTTCATAACGCTTACACAAATTTCACAAATTCCAATAACCTCACTATGCTGCAAGGAAAAATATATTCCTTCCCACATTAAGGCTTTGATTTGCATGGACGGAAAGTTTGTTATCTAATGGCTATGCTAAAAAAAGAAAAGTGGTAATAAATGTAAATTTTGTTAAACAAGCGGTTAATATTCATAGCCACTTTTCTATGTTCTAGCTTAACCATTAGATTATCAAACTTACCCTCCTAAGAACCAAGCAAAGCCTAAGGCATGAGCTTATTGGAAATTTTCATATAAACAACAGGGTAAACATGTATCTAAAAAATTATACAATACCTAAAGATAATAGATATATAAAACAATCATTTTTTATAAAAAAAAATGGAGAAACTAAGAATAATGTCCCAATTCTTTCATAACTAACAAGCTTTAATCAACTTGGAGTCAACAAATACTACCATCCTCAAAAATGATATTTTTATATTACAGAAATATGCTGCCACTTGCATGTAATTACACTTTGATAATGCATTTCAAGACAAGGGCACCTCATGCATGCATGGACATTGGTGTCACCTGTGCATACAAGCGCATATGGATCTCAAATAGTAAGCAATCTATCTATCCCACCGTCACTCAATTTTCAGCCCATGTTCATGCAAATCAACGCTATTGGGCCACAGTTAGCAACAATATGAGTCAATATGATTCTTTCATGCTGTGAACATGAAAAGATAAAGCATTTTTCCTAAGGTAAACAAGAAAGAATTTTAAGAAAACTCCGGAAAATATCTTGTTCATCATCATTATCATCAAAGGAAGAAAGCCAATTCAAGTTGCAGAAATCGTCAAATTTCATTTCACCATTCGGCCCTTCATTTTTAGTTTCACGCTCAGAGACTTTGGGACCTGAGCCAACTTCTTCAAACTTTATTTGGCCAAATAGCCAGTTTGGACTTTTAAGCTGTATTTTACAGCACCAAAATTTCAACGTTTGGATCAAATAAAGAATTTTTCATTCTTTTTCATATCAGTTATAACACAAGCATTCTAGTTCAGAACAATGTTCTGACCTAAAATTTAGGCTAAAACAAGTATATAAATTCAATTTATACAACGAAATTCAACTGGTACTTGAGGCTAAAACAAGTAGCAAATGGAATTTCAACAAGTTTAAGACAAACTTGGAAGTTACTAAGATTCAAAAGAAAAATCAGACCACTTGAGTTGAAATTGACATTCTTGGGTTAATATTGTATTTCAGAGCCAATTAAACCCATCCCCCCTCCCGCAAATTGTAATGAAACAATATTTTGTATTTCAGAACAGGTACCATAGATACTGCTCAAGTCAAAATGAAAACCAGCATAAACAAGGTTTAAATTCCTCAGCAAGGATACAGTATAAGTGACTCAAAAATTATTTAAACAGGCAGAACCCAGATGCAATTAAGATAAGCTTCAAACTAGCCAACATAAGATAAGATACAAAGCACATCCTGGCAAGAAATCAGGACACTTGTATACTCACAACTCACAATTGGTTCAATTTTAGGAAAATCATGACAGCAGATAAAATATTAAAAAACCATCTTATTACCTGGAAGGGGAAGAGTGTCTCTATTCAACAAAAGATAAGAGAAACAGACAAGCTCAAAGAAGCTACAAACAGAATATCAAAATATATTGATAGCAGAGACAAAATGATATTTACGCTGCATCAGGTGCCACGCCAGAATTTGCTGTAGAACCACCAGGTCTTTGATCTGGTTCGCTATACAGTCTCACATTATTAAACTCCATGTCCGTTCTATCAATTTATCAAATGACGTCAACTTCATCCGTGAAAAGTCTTCTCTACAAGCAGGAATGGGAGCAAGGATCTTTCCCAGTACTAAAGGCTTAACACTACCCTCCACACTGCATATGGCAATCAGAACAATGGGAAACTATTTTTTTTCTCTTTCTTTTATCTTATTTTCTATTTTTCCTATCCTTTTATTTTTCCAAACTTTCAAGTAAGATCTGAAGCAAAGCGTATTGTGTTAAATGTTCTTTTGATATAAAAAAACTGAAAGTTTTATGATAATTTGGGGTAGGGCGTAGTTAGGTATACATAGCATTTACTTTCTGGGTTGAGTTTGGAGGTTTTATGGGTTTTTGTTTGTTGAAGGTTAGGTCAGGTTGGTCTTTGGGCATACTCCTACTGTGTCGGAGTTGAGGTTGGAGTGATAAAAAAAACCACCCAAGCTCCATTTGCATCTCTAATAATAACATTAATAATAAAAGGATTATTGTCCTCGGCAGCAGAGTTATTTAACACCACAAGCAGAGTTAAGAAACACCTAAATGTCCTTAGTTGAGGTTTAGATTAAAGGAACAAATGAGACATGTTGCAGTTTTTTAAATCCACTTAGAGTTAGAAATCTTCACGGTGTCCATGATGATAATGATAATCTGGATGGCTATAAGATGAAGAGTGCAGCTTTTCATGCTAAAATAGATATGGAAACTTTACCACTTATCAGGGAATAGGTCATCTCCTGTCCCGGAAACATGAAGATAATAATCTGAATCCAACTTCCAAAGAGCAGGATTTCCTTCCTTTGATTGGTAGTAGCCCAAAAATCTGGTATATACACCAATGGTTCGTAGTTAGAAGAATAAACATTGTACCGAAGTATAAAGGCTATAGCCCATATGAAATAATCTCTAAATCCTGAAAGGCCCCTACTTTCAAAAGGCACGGTAATAATGAAGATAAAAGCCTTGAAGATTATCGTTTATAGGATAAAGATATTTTTTAAAAAGATGATGGATGGAAAAGAATTACAAGTTTATAGCATCTTGTTTTTCACTATCAGTGTAGGCATTACTATAGTATCGTTTGATAGACTTGAGAAACTCTCTAGACTGGGTCGAAGCTTTCCACTTTCACTGTCTCTCTCGAAAAACCTGAAGTTTGTAATAAATTCAAATACTCTATGAGGATAATTCCATAACATATGAAAACTTAAATGCTGAATGTCTTATGTTTTAGCTTTTGCATTCCCCCCCCCCCCCCCAACAACAGTGTTATGAGCAGCGGAACCTCCATACTGCTGTGCAAGAGCATCTCCCATACTCTGGTACATGTCCATAGGGCAGCAGCAATGCTACTATCAGGGTCCACTTTAGGCTTGTCTGTCAATCCCATGCATGGAGTTGGCGGCCAAAAGCTGCCAACCCATAAGCATACTGTGCAACATTTGTACGATCCAAAAAGTCAAGGCAGTACTCCACTCTGAAATCTTGGAGGTTCACCATCATAATTATCTGTCTTAATTTGTTGACTTTAGCCACCCTCTCTTTCTCTACCGATTAGAGAATTTTACTTCTCGTTACTTGTTCCAATCTTAACAAAATCACCAGATTTACCTCTCAGATCTCTAACAGATGCATCTCTGTAATAATTGAAATAACCTAGCATACTGTCAATAAACAATTAGTAAATTTCATAGACGTTACAAACAGGGGAAAACGCTCCTCGATATCCTGTCCACCATAGGAAAATCATAATAGCTTCTAAGAATCTTTCTAAATTTTATCTTTTCAGAGATATACTAACAGGGCATAACTATGTCTTAGCAATCCTTAAATTGCAACTTAACACCCCCTATTTTAACCTTTTAATTTATTTTACTCATATGTGCTTTGTATCAAGTGAGCATCTTCTTTCCTGAAAATAAATTAGGAAAACCCAAGTTCCAACATTTATATCTATGTAAACAGGTTACTTCTCAAAAGAAAAGAAAATCATAAAATATAAAAATAGTAAAAGATGGAAGCCAACATAAAGACTAGAATTTACAAATACAGATGAAAACTTGGTAGAAATGAGAAAAAAAAATCAATTTATGTAAGAATGAATACGATACCTCCCAGTGCTTGTTCTATTAAGTTGGTTGGCTCTCCTCTTAACAGTCCTGGGTTTACCACTATTGTAAAAACCAGTCAAATCAAGAGCTTCACTAGCCGCAGCACCCAAAACAGCCAAAACATTGGCAGACTTGCTTGAGATCAGCAAAGAACACACAAGAACATACACATATAAGCTCAATTGGAGAAGGTGAGGGGAGGAAGCCAAAGGTTGTCTGTTTCATGAGAAAAAGTAAGAACTTCCCTCTTCGCAAACTTGTGAAAATCCCAATGAATAAATTTCAGTTGATTCTCTTCTGGTAGAATTGCGTTCACATACCCAACTGCATGGGCAAATTCACGCATCAACATCATCTCTCTAGGTCTTTTCTCAACAGTCTGCATTTCAATATTTAATTTAATTAATAGATAAAAGTTATAACAAAACTCAAAATGGCATGTAGTTAAATGGTCAAAAGGAAATGTACACATGCGTACATTCCAAATAAGCAAAACATATTGGCAGACTGCTAACTAGTTTCCATCTTTGTATGTTACTAACATGTACATATAAACCTCTGCATCTCTGCACAGACATTCATATACGTATACAATTGTACATCCAAATTATATGAATGGACAAGATAAAATCTAGATGGAGACTGTCAACAGCTAGATATATCCACAAAAGCAACTACAACTTCGCACATGCACATAACTTGACAAGGGTGACGAGATGAGTTGTCAATAAGTATTCGAGCCCACTTCAAAGAAATTATAAATATTCTCTCTGAAACAAAGTATACAGAGAATTAACACTTTCTACAGAATGCTAAAGCAGAAATAAACAAGCTTTCTGCAGTGTAGTTACTGGTAAGATAATAAATATTGCAAGTCATTGTCCCTTAATAAATCATATAAATGTCTCAGATGTATTAATAAATTAAAAGTTTTCAACTCAAACACAAAATAAATCAAGCCCTGCAGCTATAACAGTTTTTTTTTTTTTTTTGAAGGTGCTATAACAGTTAATTGCAATGAACAGTGCATGGATCCTCAAAAGAACTAGTAGTCAATAGATGATGGTCAAATCAACCACCCTGTCGTACTATTTATCTTGGTGCAAAGTTTCCCCTGAGGTATGATTTAGGTGCAATTGTAACCCTTTTTGGATGGAAAATGTCACATGACTGCATGTATACAGTTAATAGAGTTACATGACATGACAATTAAATAAAAGATCTGAATGCTTGCAGAGTCGGATTACGTATAAAAAAATATATATTTAATATTGTCTTTCTGTTTTTCTTTTATTTTCCATCATCTTTTTCTCTCTTTACCCTCTAAAGGATTGGTGGAACTGCAGCCAAAAGGATAATCAGAGGTCTTGAAAATGGATTTCTTCCATTCAGGTCTCCTAATGCAGGGCTCTGGTGCCAGAACAAGTCCCTGCATTAAATTGGTCTGTCTCGGTACAAATTTTACAAATGCTATATTTCATCACCGTTAAGAATACTTAGAAGTAGCTAGCCCTTCATTTGTTATAACCTACAAAGAACTAGCAGCCTTGGTACTCCTAAACAGAGGTTTATTATTTCTTTTGAAGTTGGTTTTAAGAATATATTTCATTTTTATTAGAATTTTAAGAATGCATTTCATGACATACTATTATGAAGTCGTGAGATGCCATACTAATTCAAGTCCGACTCCACAAGAGTTCCTAATTGTTCTCAAAGTATTCCTATTATTATTCTCAGTTTAGATCACTAATTTGTTGCATTAAGAAGCCACTGGTAGTAAAAAAAATAATTATAATCAAATACACAAACGAAGTAAATTGAGTATGAAGGATTGGATAAAATGTAACTAGAAAAGGGATATTGCAAATAACCTTGATTAAATGAAGTATAATTATTGGATTTCCGTATCTATTTGGCAAGTCCTCAAAATGCAATTTGGTTGCCTGGTATGTAGGATCATACCTCTGTACTGAAGCAAAACAAAAACAATAAAGAAATTGTTTACCTGGAGTTAGAGATATGAAGATGCGATGGGGTACAACATAACTAGGAAGAAAAAAAAAGGAAAGAAAGTAATCAAGCTTATTTTTTACTGATTATATCAGGCTTAGGACTAAATCATGAAGCTTCTTGGGACCAGAAAAGGGAAATTGAACCACGCATCTGCACAACAGAACTCATCTTTCCCTTGCAAGACCCAGCTTCTTCATCAAGGACAATTTGCTCTGTTTCAACATCACTTGCAACCCTTCCTCGGTCATTCACTCCGCTTTTCAAGTACCTGAGGTTAATTAAAAAAAGACACATAAGATTTTGCAAAAAGAGAATTGTAAACTTGCAATTTTAGAACGAGTCCACCCCACCCTCTTCTTTTCTTTCTCTTCGTATCTCCTGGACCAAAAATTTAGACGCCAATGACAAGAAATTATTCGCATCTTCCAAAATACTCCTTGAAATAATATTCAGTGAAGCTTCAAATGATATATTCAAACAGTGAAAATATCTGCTTTTTTTTCTCCAAATGGCATTGATAGAGATCAGGGAAAAAACTGCAATAATCTAAAGGGGAAAAAAAAGGCTGAAAACGAGTTTGAAAGTTGATACTCTAGAAAAAAAGGTTACCCGCCCACTAAGAAAGGCTACAAATGCTATTACCCAATTACAAAGAAGACGTATGTGTCTATGGATGTTACCTTTGTTGAGAATAAACCCTATTTCTCCAAGACCGAAATTCAGGGGAGATTCAAAATGAATTTCAGTTTCAATTTTTTGATAGCCTACTGTTATGAATTCGATTTCGATTGATTTGCCTTAGACTTCACAGTCTACAGTTATGAACCCAAGAGAATAGAAGAACAAGGATAGAAGAAAATAGAAATAGAGATGAAGAGAAGAAGAGAAGAAGAGAAGGAAGAGAGATTTTAGGAAAGATAACTTCATTCAATATTTTCATAAAAATCCCATCCTCGTGTATGGTTTTATTTGTTTATAATGTACCCTTAGATAAACCCTTTAACTGGCAGTATTTGTTGTATTGAGTATAACAACCAAGACATATAAGCAAGGTGTGTCTATCATGTGCTTCTACTTCCCATCCTCCTTTGTTTCAATTGAATTATCCCCCAATTCTCTATTCCAAATTCTTAACCTTTTCTCTGACTTTCCGAATTCTCTTGCTTCAAATCTCTCCTCTTCTCCTGTGGGAATGACATTACCCTTCCCTCGAAATGATCATTGTCACCAAAGATCAAAATATGAGAATTGTTGTTTCTTTACCCTGCGTTTGTCTAGCATTATAGTCGGGTGGACCTTTAGCAGTCCTTTATATCTAAACTCAGAAGGATCTAACGAGGTAACATTTTGATCTTTAAAATTTTCCTCAACAAGATGATATGATTTAATGGTTATATCCTCGACGACTCAGCTAGTTGTAATTTATATGTCATTGATCCCATATGTCATAAAACAATGCAAGGACCATAGAACCTTGTTGCATGTTTTAAACTCTTTCGAAGAGTAAGTGAGGTTTGATGGTAGGACTGAAACTTCAGGTAAACTCTATCGCCGACCTTCATATTTTTGTCTGTCATTTTTTTATTAACAAAAAAACTTCATCCTACCTTGTGCCTTCTGGAGTTGTCGTTTTAATACCTGATTCATCCTTTCTCTATCGTATAGCATTTCCTATATTGATTGAATAGTATACTTTTGTAACACCCCAATTTAGGGAATAAAATTAAGAAAATATAAAGTATTGGATTTAATTGGTATTTTGGAAGAAATTGAGGATTTAATTGTAAAATTTCAAAGTCGGCAGACCGTTTTATAAAGTGCAGGAAATTCAGTGGCTACTCTCATAGTTTAACCATTTTTCTTTAGGAGAAAATTTATAAACCCCTTTCCCGTGCTCATTTCCCAAAAATGTTTCCCATTTTTCCTTCTCCGATTAACCCTCCTTTGAACTCCGATCTATGCATCGTCCGGCCACCGTTCGACGAACCGAAACCACCAACGTGTTCGTTTTCGACCGATGAACAAAACCCCTCAAACCTCTCATTGTGAAGCGACGTTGTTCGTCGTTAATTTTAATTGGAAGTATCGTCGGTTTTAACTTAATTTCCGTTGGTTTTCCATCGATTCACGTCGATCCAGCCACCCGTTTTCGACACCTCCAGCACCATCGTGTTCCTTGTGTCGTTCCGAGTCCACCGGTGTCCTCCATGTCTCCGTCGTCGCCGGTGCGTAGAGGGGTGAGAAAGTAAAAGTTTTTTATGTTTCGTAATCGAGCTCTCTGCCGTTCAAAATTGTGAACCGAGCTTAGTAAGTATCTCAAAATGCCTTAAAATAATATTTAGAATTTTTTTTGGGATTTTTAGGGGCTCCAGGGACATCATACGTGCCCCCACGCACCGCCCCTGTACGTGGGGGAGGTTTGTAAAACAGTTGGGGCAAATTTTGAACCGGTTTGACCAGTCCGACCCGGTCCGACTACCTGAACCGTTGACCCATTGACCGACCATTGATTGTTGACCACCGTTAACTAGAACTTTGACCGGCGTTGACAGGCCGTTGACTTTTTTTGGGTATACCTATCCTGACATTTTTCGACGTCCTGAGTTCGTTTTTGGGGTCTATTTTGCCAAATTCGAACTCGGTAAGCTTTTTGCATTGATTTAACACCCGATTAAATCCATTTTTCGAAATTAAGCCCCGTTTTTGTTGAAATTTCTATTGTATGTATTTGAGGAATTATTGGAAGTTGAAATAAAGATCGAGGGCGTTCGAATGGAACATGTTTGGTCTCATTTGGGTATTTAATTAATTCATACACTCGACATGAATGTGGTAAAAATTTGGTAACTAAATACGGCTCGGATGACTAATATAAGAAATTGAGGGATTGTTAGAATTAAATTACAAGTTCTGTGATTAGTTATAAAGGAATCAACCCTGGTATGACTTATAATTTATATCATCAAAGGTTAAATGTTAAAGGTACTTGGATGAGAAATTATGAGAATACTTCGATTTGGTAAAATTACGAAAATACCCTTATGTGGTAAAATGACAAGAATTGTCCTTGGAAGTTGATTAATAACTCTAAAAAGACATGTTGATATGATAAAACTACAGATGTGCATAAGAAATGCTAATGTTGCTTAGAAGATATGGATAACCGGTTTTTAACTCCAAGAGGGTTTATGCAAGATATTAGAAATCTGTTAAGGAATAATTTCAAGATCAGACAATGTTTGGGAAAGAAATTAACCGTATGATCTATAAATTATAATTATTTCGTTAAGAATTAATATCAAAATTATCTAGGTAAGAAATTATGAAAATGCCCTTGAGAGGTAAAAATAGTCCGAGTTGACCCTGAATGAAAAAGTACCCTGAGATTTCGTACCTAACCCAATAAATTACAAATTTAATTGTTAAGATCCTGTCTTTGTACATAAAAATTTTTGATAACCTATTTGTAACTTCAGAGAAGGCAATTGACCAGAAAATCTCCGAGTTAAGAATAAATTATCGAGGGTGCTCTTTTGTCAGAATTGTTCAAAAGGTATAGAAAAATGATACGTTTGAATTAAATAATAAGATGGATAGAAGAAAATGATTGAAATACCCTAGATTTGTAAAATGACCAAAATACCCCTATAATGGAAATGACTCAAGAATATCACTAAACCCAGGAAGGATTGGATATTCTCAATCTATGAAATGACAGGAACAACATTAAGCACCAAAATGACCAAAATACCCTGATGGCCAAGAATAAGTAAATGTTTTGGATTCATTAAGGAACTCAAATAAATATGGATGTGGCATTGCCCTTAAAAAGTTATGGAAAAGACCTTATGCGGGTCGATCAACGATAATACTATGTCAGTACTTGAATGGCATAGATATCACTTAAATGCGTGTTCGTCTTCTCAAGTATGGATCGATGATAAATCTATAAGTACTTAGCTCAGCTCAACTCTACAGTGCATTCGGTACTAAGAAGTGGATATTCGTGAGACAAATCAATCACGAATACAAAAATGACTTCATTATATGACTAAATTGAACTGAAAGAGAGTATAATATGTATCCAAAATTTAGAAACGTCAGAATTACTCTGGAAAACTCGGAAGTAACCGGGATAGACATAATTGCTAAATGAACTAAGTAACCTCAATCATTGAGGATTAAATAAGTGATTTGAATGAGTCTGGAAACACTGTTGAACTTACATGATGAGTTGTCCTTATGGGCCATGAACCATGAATCAAGTACGTTAGTATTTCTTGATATATTTGAAACGTGGTAATAAAGTAAAGACCATTGGACTATCTTTTCGTCTCCTTAAGACCTATTTGATAATAATTCTGAAGATGATCTATGAACAAGAGTTGTTGGTATTAAAGAGTAAATACCCTGAAAAGGCAACAAATTGATAGGTCAATATGCATTAGTTTTGGGAGTTGTTCAGATCGAGTTGTTTGATAATATGATTGATCGACATAGAGTGTAAATGTCCTGAATCTTTGTTCTCCCTCATCAGTTTCATATTATCCATTTTGATTTATACCACGTGTCTCTGAAAAATAATTGGATTCTCTAGTATGTTCCCTATATATTACGTAACTAATTTATTTGTTTTAATATGTGGTACATTGACATCTATGGTTATTGTTTTATTGATGCACCGACTTAATGTGATGGCTTATGGATTATGACTGCTATCTGATTATTGGTTTTCACTTGTATATGATTACAATGATTAAGGATTTATGGAAATTTTGTCACGGTGCAATTGTATTTTTGAGATACTGAATTATAAAGTACAACTCTGATCAAGCTAAAAAAAATTTATGGACATAATGTGACTCTTAGGTAGGCTCTGCTACCCTGAGATCATTCTCGGGTAGGCCCTGCGGCCTTAAGATATGTTCTTAGGTAGGCCCCGTGGCCCTGAAACTTTCTTGTGTAGGCTCCCAGGCCCTAAGATATTCCCTTAGGTTAACTCTTTATATAATGGTTTTAAACTACGAGTTTAAAAAGCTCCACTACAGTATGATTTATGAGATTTACTGAACTATCATTTGATTAGTGTACCTAATATGATTTTATCGTACTATTAGAACACACTAGACATCCTAGTCGATCTCCTGAAAACATGATACTATGAATGTTTCTTATAAACTGAGATATTCATGGCTTCTATTCGATAAACTACCAATGGAACCCCAGATTATCCCGAAAGTTTGTATACGTCTGATTTATTAAGGAAATTATATGGTTTTCAATTTATAGGCATGTATTGCAGCATCTTTTGGTAGATCTGTATTACTGAGCTTTCTGAAGCTCACTCTATTACTCACTATTGCAGGTTAGAAGAATTGTACCGGTGCAACTATTGATTTCAGTAAGGGAGTTTTTCCGGCGTTGTTTGCAGAGTATGGTACATGTGATTAGGGGGCATGTATGTTGTATTTTGTTTCATATACGAGTCTGAAAATCTGTTTTATTTCTGAATAATAGTAAGTATACTTTTGTATTTATAAATGATTTTATGAGTTTACATGTTTCAATAAAAGTTTTAAATTTTCTACTATTTTACAATGGGTCATTCCGGTGACCCTAATGTGACACCCTGTATCATATCGGGCTATCTGCATCGGTCTGAGGGGGTTACATTTAGTGGTATCAGAGTTTAGGTTTGAGTTAAAAATTTTCCAAATGGACCGGCCGGTCGAATTTCAAAAGATGTCTGATCAGTACATGCCCCTAGACTACAATCGTACTTCTCTGAGCCGAAACTCTAAGGCTAAGTTCCTATCTGTAACGAGAAAATCTAAGTTTTATCTATTATGACTCTACCATTTCATAAAGGAATATCAGTAACATTTGTCTAAATTCTATATAGTACCTCATGAGCCATGTGAAAGTT